TCACAGATCGCAGCCCCCCAGGGATGGCGAGGTCACATTTGAGTCCGCCGCGGGTGCAGACTGTGTTGGGACGGCGAGGTCCCATTTGAGTCCGCCGCGGGTGCAGACTGTGCTGGGCCCCCCATCAGCCCTCGAAAGGCGACAGTTTCGCAGATCGCAGCCCCCCCGGGATGGCGAGGTCCCATTTGAATCCGCCGCGGGTGCAGACTGTGCTGGGCCCCCCAGCAGCCCTCGAAAGTGGCGACAGTTTTGCAGATCGCAGCCCCCCAGGGATGGCGAGGTCATTTGAGTCCGCCGCACTTTGAGCAGCCTAGAAAGCAGCAGGCCTCGAAAGTGGCGACAGTTTCACAGATCGCAGCCCCCCAGGGATGGCGAGGTCCCATTTGAGTCCGCCGCGGTGCAGACTGTGCTGGGCCCCCAGCAGCCCTCGAAAGTGGCGACAGTTTCACAGATCGCAGCCCCCCAGGGATGGCGAGGTCTAATCTGAGTCCCCGCGTCACTCCGCTGCCCCCCCCAGCAGCCCTCGAAAGTGGCGACAGTTTCACAGATCGCAGCCCCCCAGGGATGGCGAGGTTTAATCTGAATTTCCGTAAGACGTCACTGTGCTGGGCCCCCCAGCAGCCCTCGAAAGTGGCGACAGTTTCACAGATCGCAGCCCCCCAGGGATGGCGATGTCTAATCTGAGTCCCCGTAAGACGTCACTGTGCTAGGCCCCCCATCAGCCCTCGAAAGTGGCGACAGTTTCACAGGTCGCAGCCCCCCAGGGATGGCGAGGTCTAATCTGAGTCTCCGTAAGACGTCACTGTGCTGGGCCCCTCAGCAGCCCTCGAAAGTGGCGACAGTTTCACAGATCGCAGCCCCCCAGGGATGGCGAGATCTAATCTGAATCTCCGTATGACGTCACTCCGCTGGCCACCCCAACAGCCCTCGAAAGTGGCGACAGTTTCACAGATCGCAGCCCCCCAGGGATGGCGAGGTCTAATCTGAATTCCCGAAGGGCGTCACTCCGCTGCCAGCAGCCCTCGAAAGTGGCGACAGTTTCGCAGATCGCAGCCCCCCAGGGATGGCGAGGTCTAATCTGAGTCCCCGTAGGGCGTCACTCCGCTGGGCCCCCCAGCAGCCCTCGAAAGTGGCGACAGTTTCACAGATCGCAGCCCCACCAGAGAGCAAGAGAAGAGAGGAGGAGGCGAGAGGAGGCGGGAGGCGGGAGGAGGAAGGTGGAGACCACAGTGCTCTATTCAAAACGAGTACCCAACGCAGGAGGGTTGGGAAAAACACAGACACAAATCATCGTCGATTCCCCCGAAAGTATAAGAAGACATGGGAACATGTGGGAAATTATAGGGAATCTCGCTATCTGTGTGTGTATCTATTTGTCAACCCAGGGCCCCTTCACTCAGGGGCCCCCTGGGGGCCCCGTCGACGGGGGGCCCAGCAGGCCGTGGCGGCCGCCTGGGGAAACCCTGGGGGGGGGGGCACCGCGGCCCAGGGGCACCTCCCCAGACATCGGGCGCCTCGAAAACATCGAGGCGGAGGTGTTTCGTCGCTTTCGGCCTCTCGAGGCCCTCGCCGGGCCACGGGGCCGTCGAAAAGCGACTCGGGATGGAACATCGAAAAGATCGAGGCGGAGGTGCTTCGTCGTTTTCGGCCTCTCGAGGCCCTCGCCGGGCCTCGGGACCGTCGAAAAACGACGCGGGATGGAACATCGAAAAGATCGAGGCGGAGGTGTTTCGTCGTTTTCGGCCTCTCGAGACCCTCGCCGGGCCTCGGGACCGTCGAAAAACGACTCGGGATGGAACATCGAAGAGATCGAGGCGGAGGTGCTTCGTCGTTTTCGGCCTCTCGAGGCCCTCGCCAGGCCCCGGGACCGTCAGAAAACGACTCGGGGTGAAAAACCGGTCCTGGGGAAGTGGTCGGGAGGTCGAGGGCCCGTGTCTCGAAAAAATCGAAGCGTCGGATGTCTGGGGCGGTCCAGGGGCACCTCGGTCGGGGGTTGCTCAAGGTGCCCCTGGCCCAAGGTGCCCCCAACCGCTCGCTCGACTTCTGGAGCCCCCTTGTGGGCCCCGCGAGCGGGCGCTCGGGAGGCCATGGCGGCCGCCTTGGAACCCCATGGGGCACCTCGGTCCAGGGGCACGTCTGGCAACGCCCGAGGGGATGCTGCTCCATCGACAGGGGGAGTGCTCAAAAAAGTAGCCAAAAATCAGCCCAGGGACGATGTTTCTGTCACTCTTGCTCATGATGTTTTATTTTTGTGGGCATCTTTCATTCTTCGTCCAAAACCCGCCCGTACAGTCGAGTTTGATTAGTAGGTCGACCCTGCCCAAATAAGGGTACCCTTGTGTCCTGTGGTTCGCGTCCCATGCCCTCTGCGTTCCACTGGCAATATGGCCATCGGAAGGGTCTTGTGTCCTCTCGCGTGTCCTCTCCAATCCACCCCGCCCGTGGGGGGGACATGCGCCCGCCCCGAGCCCCCGTCTCGGGTCGGGCGAAAGGGGGGGATTGGGAAAGGGGGGGTTACGAAATTTGCTGCATGCAGCTGGTTTCGGCCTCACCGAGGGGCCCGTTCCCGGCGCCGGGAGGCGCCGGGAAAATCGGCTGCGTGAGCTGATTCTCGAACCCCCCCTTTGCTATCCCCCCCTTTCGCCCGACCCGAGAACCCCTGGGGGCACCTCGGGCCAGGGGCACTTCCGGCAACGCCCGAGCGGATGCTGGTTGATCACCGCGGAGTCGCCCACGTTTGAGTTTTGGCCTGCCCCATCGACAGGGGAAGTGTTCAGAAGTAGTCAAAAGCCAGCCCAGGGCCGATGCTTCTATCATTCTTGCTTATGTTGCTTATGTTTGCGGGTATCTTTCACTCTTCGTCCAAAACCCGCCCGTAGGGGGACATGCCCCATCGACAGGGGGAGTGCTCAAGAGTAGTCAAAAAAACAGCCCCGGGACGATGCTTTTGTCATTCCTGCTCATGCTGCTTATGCTTGTGGGTACCTTTCCTCCTTCGTCCAAGACCCGCCTGTAGGGGGAACGGTGCCCGACCCGAGCCCCCGCCGCCGGCGGCCGTCACCTGCCAGGAGCAGCTCCGAGGGCAGGAGCGCGCCCTCCCCCCGCGCGGCGCGCCGAGGCGCCGGCACCGGCTCCTCTCGAAGAAGAATACGCCACCGGCATGAGTTCAAGGGGACGAAGTAGCAACGAAGAAGGAAACCAAGGGCTCCCACGAGGGCGCGAAGTGAGTCGCGCTTCGCGCTTCGCGGTCCTCGTTCCTTCTCCCCCTCCTCCTCGTCCTCCTTTTCTCCCTTTGGGGGGGCGGCGCGAGAGCGCGAAGTTATTCGCGCTTCGCGGAGCGCGAAGCGCGAAATTGGGAGCCCTAGGAAACGAAATTCTGCCAAAACCAAATGGGCACGGGAAGAATGGGTACAGTGCTCAGCAGAAGTCCCTGCTCATTTCGAGCAGGGCTCGCTGTCCGCGCCGCCGCGGCTCGTGTCCATGTGAGACAGGATGCAGCCTGCCCAACAGCGGCCGCTGTTAGTTCGGGACAACATTTGTTGTTGGGCATTGTGCCCATTTTTCCGTACCCATTCCGGGCGTCCACAGAAGTAAATGCCGTGAACGAAGAAGTAAACGAAGTTTTTGGCGCTCTGCGCGGATGTCTTGGATCCGCGCTCCGCTTGAAGAAGAAACGCGTAAGTCGGACCTGTCCCTCTGCAGGAGGAATATTCAAAATAGTAGAAAAATAGTCCGGGGACGTTTTTTCAAAACTGGTTTCTAATATGTTGGAGCATGTTTGAACTATCTTTAATTATTGGTCCAAACCCGCCTGAAGGGGGACATCCCCGACCCAAGACAAAACCATAAACATAAGTTGTTGGCGCTCCGCACGGATTTCTTGGATCCGCGCTGGGCGCCCCCGGCGGCGCCCCCCGACGCCGCCCCTGGCGCACTCAGCGCGCCTGGGAGGGGGAGAACATGCTGCTTCGAGTGAGTCTGATGCCAGTGAAATGAGGATGAGTTGGATCCCTCGGAGGATCGGTCCTGTGCACTGACTCAGAAGCGGACTCCTGGCGCAGAAGTGCAAGAGATCCACGCGGACCTCCAAAAGTGTATGTTTATGCGGTTCGTTATTCCTCTATCTTCGGGCGGGGCCAGGACGAGAATAACTCCGTTCCAGAGCGTTCTGGCGGCGGGTGCGGCAACGCCTCCTGTGGCCGTAATATGGGGACGGACAAGAGGTGGGCGATGACTATTTAGAGGGGGTGGTATGACGGCCTGGTTCATGAGACCTCCCCGGATTTCATGGGCCCCTCTCTCTTGTTCAGCACGGCCCTTGGCCCCCCCCCTGGGCCGCGCACATGTCAGGAGGAAAAAAAAAACACAGACACAATTAATCCTCGATTTCCCAGAAAATATGGGAAAATATGGGAAGTGGGGGGGAGACAAAAACCCCGAAAATACAGGAAAAGATGGGGAATCTTTTTATTTGTGTGTATTTATTTGTGCGTCCTGGGGCCCCTTCAACATGCCCCGGGCCATGGTTTTCGAGCCCCCCCCCCTCTTGGACGCCCGCCACGCTCCGGCCCGAGGAGGCGAGGACCATGGCCCGAAAAGGGTGCGAAGTGCGAACGGCTCGGAAACGCGCTCCGTGGTGCTCGCACCGCCTCGTCGATGGGGATGGCCCCCACGAGGGGAGGCGGATCTGCTTCTCAGCCTGGCGCTTGCGTGGAGAAAAAAGAAAAACACAAAAAACGTGTATATATATATATATATATATAAAAGAAAAAAAAAACAAAAAAAAAAAAAAAAAAAAAAAAAAAAAAAAAAAAAAAAAAAAAAAAAAAAAAAAAAACGAGAGTGCGAATGCGAATGCGCATGCCCCTCTTGGACGCCCCCGAGTATTGGGCCGTGTTCAGCCGTCCTGCGTCAACTCCGGGCACCCATCGGAGGCCGCTCTGGCCGCCCGCGGGCCCGCCCTCGGCCGCCGCGCGTCGGAGCGCCGCTAGCCTCCGCAGGCGAAGTGCATCGACAAGGTGAAGATCATCGGGCAGACGGTGTACCACTACTTCCGCTACGGCTGGAACCTGGTCGCGCGGGAAGGCGAAGCTCGGGAGCGGAAAAGAGGGGGATGATGACTAGGGGGGGTGGATATCATGGCGTGGGCCATGATATTTCCCCAGATTTCATGGCGCCTCTTCTTATTCCATTACGTCCCTGGCCCCCCCGCTGGGCCGCGCACATGCCGCCGGTCATGATTTGCACCCCCCCCCCCTCTTGGACACCCCCCTCTTGGCCGCTCCCGACGAAGCGAGTCGAGCAGGAGGAAGGGGCCCCCAAACGGGGCGGTGACCACACCGTGCGGTGGGTCGGTGGGGATTCGGGGTCACCGCACGGTTTTGGGATTCGGGTCGTTCTCCGAGGACGTCTCGGGCGACAGGGGCCTCCAGGGTCCCAAGATCTTGCGGTGACGGACCGTGCGGTGAGGTCTTGGGGGATTTCGAGGTCACCGCACGGTGTGTCACCGCACCGTTTCGGGACTCCCCAGGAGGGAGAGGGGAGGTATTGGTGTCCGGCTGCGAGTTCTAATTGCCCCAGCGGGTCTTGTCGACGTTGGGTGTATCGGGCATCCCCGCTGGAGTTCATTTGGCTTCAGACATCCTCCGAAGTGTGAGCCCCAGCTGGTCGCGTGGGAAGGCGAAGTGAGTCGAGTAGGAGGAGGCGGGAGGTATTGATGTTCTGCGACCGGTTGCGAACCCCCGCATTGCCCCAGCGGGTCCTATCGACGTGGGGGAATCGGACATCCCCGCTGGAGTTCGTTTGGCTTCAGACATCCTCCGAAGTGTGAGCTCCACCTGGTCGCGCGGGAAGGCGAAATGAGTCGAGTAGGAGGAAGGGGGAAGGTATTGGTGTTCTGCGACCGGCTGCGAACCCGCATTGCCCCAGCGGGTCCTATGGACGTGGGTATTGGACATCCCCATTGGAGTTCATTTGGCTCCAGACATCCTCCGAAGTGTGAGACCCAGCCGGCGTTTCAGAGATCTGACCTGCAGAGGTCGGGTTCACATGCGGTTGTTCAGATATTGAACCAAAAATGGTGCAAGCACTCCGCTGCCGGATCTCATGGCCGCTGAGCATGCCATCTCGTGGTGGGCGGGAAGCCGAGGTTCAGACCAATGGCACCCGAGACCAACCAGAATCTTACGCCCGCCCTCCCTGCCCCAAACGGGGGGGTACCGGGTACGGTCAAGACGCTGACATGAGGATCAGGTTGGGGGTCCAGGAGGAGCTCCTGTGGTCGGACCAATCCCTTGATCTAGATCGGGCAGATCCAGGCCATTTGCGAGCAATTGCTCTGCGAGCAGTGGAAGTGCGCTTGCCTAGGGTAGGCCTCGGGGGGGGGCGCTTCGACCCCCAGTCGCCCACTCCTCGCCGAGAGGGGCCTATCCGTGGCCGAGGTCCGCTGTGGCCAGAAAGGCCCCTTCGCTCATCGTCGAGGACGCCGACGGCGCATCACCGGCCGCTCCCTGGGAGTTTACCGTAGTGGTGCGCAGCATCGAAAGTCGTGACGCGGCGCGTATGCCAGCTATCGAAGACGCCTATGGCGAACCACCGCCGCCCCCTGCCTTTGTGGAAGCGCCTATGTGGCCGAACGTTGAGGCCAGACCTGCCAAGCCATCGGACCATGTGTTCCCCGAATCGGTTTGGAAAACCTTCGGGGAACACGTGGGCATCTTGAAGGTCATCTTGGCCGTCTTGGAGGCCTCTTGGGCGATGTTTCGGCGATCTTTGGGGCTCTTGGGCCGTCTCGGGCCGTCGGAAGGCCGAACAGAAGCAAATGTCACGATCCGTCAAATACCGTAGGAAAAACAATATTTTGACCTCTTCTGGCCTTTCTGGAGGGCCATCTTGGTGGGTTCCTGGCACGTCTGACGCCGTCGGGAGCCCTCTTGGGGGCCTTTCTGGGCCGACTTGGGACCCTCTTGGGGCGCTTCGGGGCCGTCTTGGAGGCCATCTTGGGCGTCTTGGAGGCCATCTTGAGCGTGTTGGAGGCCTCTTGGGCCGTCTTGAGGCCCTCTTGGGGCCATCTTGGAGGCCACTTGGGCCGTCATGGGGCCCTCTTGGGGGCCTCTTGGGCGATCTTTGGGGCCTCTTGGGCCGTCTTGAGCCGTCGGAATGCCGAGAAGAAGCAAATTCCAAAATCCTTCAAAAACCTAAGGATAAACCATAATTTTGGCCTCTTCGGGCCCTCCTGGAGGACCTCTTGGAGGCCTCTTGGGCCGTCTGGGAGGCCTCTGGGGGGCCTCTTGGGCCGTCTTGGACCGTCTTGGACTCTCTTGGGCCGTCTTGGACCATCTTGGGCGGACTTGGAGGCCATCTTGGGCCATCTTCGCGATTTGTTGAGGATGTCCCGAGCGAAACGGCCGTTTCAGGGAGGATTTGTTCCGGAGTTTGTGCACGTGGGCAGGCCTCCCGGGACCCCCGCGGGACGGGCCGAAACCCATTGGGAGAGTTCTTTTGGAAAAAGAACCAAAACCAAAACCGAAATCGTCAAGCACGCCAGGCACCCCTGCGATGAATCGACAGGGGGCGGCGGATCAAATGGCCGTCGGCCCATCCTGCCACCGTGCCTGTGTTTTGGGTCGGAGTCCTCATGGACGCATCTTGGGGTCTCGCGAGAGGGCTCTCGGGGGCCTCTGGGACCTCCTCGAGGCTTCTTGGGAGCATCTTGGGACCCTCTTGGGGCCTCTTGGGGCGCTCTTGGGGCCTCTTGGGGGCCTCCTGGGGACCTCTTAGAGCCTCCTGGGGCCTCTTGGGACCGAAAGCTCGAAATGTTCATTCGAGTTCCCCTTCTGGGTGCCTTCTAGGGGCCGTCCTGGGGCCCCTCTTGGGCCGTCCCGGGGGCCTCTTGGGCCGTCTTGGAGCGATCTCGGGGGCCTCTTGGACCGTCTTAGAGAATCGGTAAGCCGAAATGGCGAGAACGCGAAAATCCTTCCAAAACCATCGACAAATCAAGGATGTTTGTCTCTTGGTGCTCTCTTGGGGGTGCTCTTGGAGGCCTCTTGGGGCGTCTCGGAGGCGTCTTGCTCCGTCTGAAGGCCATCTTGGGCGTCTTGGAACGATCTGGAACCGTCTGGAGTCTCTCTTGGACCGTCTAGGGGCTCTCTTGGACCAGCTTGGGGCGCTCTTGGGTCGTCCCTGGGCTGTTCCGGACCTTGAAAGAGGGGGGGGGCCCGCGGCAGAGTGGGGCCCCCTCGGAGGGACTTTCAGGGAGGTTTTTGACCAGGCACTGGCGAATGGGGCTAAAGACTATGTCAAACACTCCGTCAGAGAGGTCTCGCACGGCCCAACCCGCCAGGCCGGGAGCGGCCGGATCTGAAGGGCTTCGCCCTCTGCCGCCGGCCCCCCCCCCTCAGATTTTGTGCTTGACCACGCTTGATCGGTAGGTTGGTTTGATGTTCTTCTCGGTTTGCTGGCTGGCGTGTTGTCTAAATTCATGGTTGGCAGTTGAGTTGGGCTGTTTGCTGGCTGGCTGGTTGCGCGTGTCTGTAGTGAGTACTATAATGGCCTTCGGTCCATGCCGCCACCGTGCATGCGCTGAAAGGTCCAGGATCAGGTGGCAGTGGCAGCTTGCCTTCGTTATCCGGGAGTGCGGCAGGAAGTAAAACGGCGGTGACGCGATGTCACGTATCTTCATCGCTGCGCCCAGAACGAAGACGACAAGCCATGACAGGAGGATAACAGACCAAAACGATAGGCCATGACAGAGCCATGAAAAGCCTGCCGCGCCAGACTTAAGCCGAATAGTGCCTTCCTTGCCTGGGTCGTGGGCCAGAGGCATCTTGGATGCATGTTCGGGTCACCTGGGATGCCTGTCGAGGGCCTCGTGGAAAGAGTTGTCATGCCCCTTGGGGCCTCATTGGGCTGTGTTCAGGGCTTCTTTTCGGCTTCCTGGGTGCCTCTTTGCAGTCTCTTGGATGCCTTTTTGAATTCTTAGGGGGGGCCCTGGGCCTTTTGAATTCTTAGGGGGGGCCCTGGGGAGCTTTCCGGCTGCTCCAAGGGGGGCCCTCTTGGGCCAGAGGGCTCGAACAGTCCGTTCGTGTCCCTCCTGTCGGGCGGGGCCCCCCTGGGCGCTTTCTTGAGCCCCTCCGCTCCCGCCCTCCCTTCCCCCAATCCTCTCCGCATTCATGTCCCTCCCCTCTCCATCCTTGCCCCCCCCCCCCCCTCGCTCCCCTCCCCTCTCCTCCCCGTCTTGGGGTCCTCTTAGATTGTCTTGGGGCTCTCTTGGAGGCCTCTTGGGCTGTCTTGGGGGACGGCATTGGAGGCTTCCGGGGCCGCCTGGCATTCTCTGTGAAGCCCGACGAGGGGAATACGCCCCCCACCCCCCTCCCCCCACACACCCAAAAAGAGAAAGCGCTGTCCGAATGGATTGGGGCAATTTTAGCCTCTCGGGACTGTCTTGGGGAGGGGCGCGCGTGTGTAGTAACTAGTTAATTAAGCAAATAAGATGGTGGCCTCGGTGCGCGCTTCCGCTGTAGTTTACGAGGGCTCGCGGATTCGGGAGCGCGCGCTTTGTATGTTCGATGATTCGTGGCCTCGGGTCCAGAGTCAAAGTCTCTGGAAACGCCAGGGGGGGCGAAGAGTGCCTCCCGAAAACATACCCCCAACATAGAAGATTACAGCTTTCTGCTCTGGAGAGGGGGTGGTGGTGGCTGTGGGCAGCCTCCGTGGGTTCGTGGCCTCGGGAACACGAGCGCGAAGCGATTTACGAGGGACTGGGGCCCTGGGGACGCGAGCCTGTTGTAATTCACAAGGGACTGCGGCACCGGGAGCGCGAACGCGCATTAATGAACCATGGGTAGTGGTTTCGGGAGCGCGAATCGATCGCAATTGGCATAGAATTCTGACCTCGGGGACACAATCTCGTGGTAGTGTACAAGGGTTTGGTGCTTCGGGGGCGCGAACCTGCCGTATTCTAACGTGTCCCTCCCGTCCTTCTTTTTCTCCCCCCTTTTCT